ATCTAAAATAAAACTACAAACATTTTGAAGACTCATTTTGGTTTATAAGTAGTGTTTCAAGACTACCAGTAGATCAGTTATATGAGATGTGTTCACCCTATTTCGTGTAAGATGATGAAGGACTGGTAGTATACTTTTCCCACAATGATGTGAGTAGAGCTGACATTTCCATTGAATTTCACAGAACCTTGCTTTCTTAAAAGTTGTTGTCATTCCGGCTAGAGTGGACTGCAGTTTCGACTTCGCATCGGTCTAATCAACACCGCCAGCGGGAGTGGAATCTTGACAGTTCAGCATGTATACTTGACACTTTATCCACACCGCCACTGCCACGAGTGCCATTGGGTCACAAGGCAGATGTGAATTTAATGAAGGGCAGACCTTTTCCCATATCACATTCTTTGGTGGGATTGCCGTCGAAGCAAACGTATTTTTGCTATAACAATCAACTACATTACTCAATTTTTGCATATAAGTAGAGTTTCGAGACTATCAATAAATCAGATGCTTATATACGAAAAATAAGTAATGTGGTCGATTGTTGTAGCAAAAATACGTTTTTGACACGAGGATAAACTGGGTTTTTATCAACCTCCTGAGATAGCATTGTTGGATGGACTTTCATTTCTTATGAAAGTTCATGAAGAAGAGATTCAAAGGTCGATCTCATCAGAAGAGGACGGCTGAATCCTGTTGTACTGCAGACTTTTACGGGAATGACGCCCAGTTCTGATGATGTCCATCAAATGATGGACGAAAGCTCAGCCGGTTTTCACCCCAAACGAGGGAGGAGGACTCGTGAACAGCGTCTAAGAGCCAAACATCTGCATTACAACAGGTGCATTTCCGGTGAGATCGACCCTTGAATCTCTTCTTCATGAACTTACATAATAAATGAAAGTTAATCCAACAATGCCATCTCAGGGAGTTGATAAAAACCCAGTTTATTCTCGTGTCTAAAACGTATTTTCACTATAACAATCGACCACATTACTTCTTTTTCGTATATAATCAGCTGATATGACTGATTTATTGGTAGTCTCGAAATTATGTTTATATACGAAAAATAAGTAATGTAGCCGATTGCTATAGCAAAAGTACGCTTGTTTCATCGACAATCCCACCGAAGAATGTGACCTTCCTTGAAATTCACATCTGCCCCATGACCCAAGGGCACTAGTGGCAATGTGTCGGAATGGTTAAAGTGTCAAGCTGACATGCTGCACTGTCACGGTTCGACTCCCGCCGGGGGTGTTGATGAGACCTTCGGCCTGGATGAGAACACCTTTTGCGAAAGCAGGGCTATGTGAAATCGAATAGAAACGAAAATTCGACTACCACTTTTTCATCAGCTTAAGCGAAATAGGGTGAATGCATCGCATCTTTTGTAGACTCTTGTTCAACCTTAAGTCGTTCAACCTCGTACTTTTCAGCCGATTTCAGTGTCCGTCAGGAGGGGATTTGCATGGCTCACCAGGTACACAGCCTTCGAAGCCTGCCAGCCTCGTGAAGCCCGGACAACAGGAGAGATCGCGTCTCGTTGTCGGCTCAAGTACCGTCTTGTAGCTGACTGCATAATGCCTCCTGGCGATTGAAACAAGCGAACAGAAAGAAAGATCAAACGGTGGGAATTGTTAAAATCCAATTGGCGCCTTAACACTTAATAGTGAACAATCCAAAGTATAATATCAATTCGAGATGATTGGTATGTTTTAAATTATTATGCTATGCTGTCGCATAATATTTAACTCCCGTTGACGGCCTAGTCCAGCCGCCAAATTCGTTTGGTTAAATTCAACAAAAACTTGAGACCTATTCAACCAAAAAGAGAAAATTCATAATCGGTCTAGGCTGAGTTAAGATATGATTAAAGATCTACTGAAAGTCCGAAATCCTAAGTTAAACACATTTTTCACAGAATTTATTCTTGTCGCTATGGTAATTCATTTTCGGCGTTCAAAGCAGTCATTCTGAAAAGCGTCGTAGATGTCTCGAGAGCCGGGTCATCTCTGCTGATGTCGCGGTAAAATTGT